GTTATTTTTATCGATATACGACCAATCGAAGCTCCGTTAAAATTATACTTTTACTAATACAAATCTTTGGGTGGCACAGAAGAAATATTGAAAAAAGAGTCCGCGGGAATTTGATTGAATAGAAATCCAATCAAAAAAAAAAAATTACCGTGTATTTTGGAATGGGGATGGTTTAGTCAACGCAAACGGTAGTTAACTTAATGACTTAAACAACAAAGTACATTTTTAAATTGTTTTGATGAAATTTACATTTTCAAAACTTTATAATATTCGGGATGTTACAAACATGAACAACTCGTATTGAAAACGTTTTTATTACACAGTGGTTTATTATTATTAATATTACAGTACAAATTTCCCTACTCATCAGGAAACCAATCTCAATGTATTACAAAATTAAAATCTTTTATATTTTTTAGTGATGATACTGGCACAATCGTATCTGGTTTTGTTTACGTCGGATAAGTGAATGACAATCGAGCGACCTGTAATACCAGCCGGGCCATCCCATTTTAGGAAGTAATCATAGATATCTTCATAAACATATCCATCTTTTTTCGGCTCCAAGTCACCATATTTACCTGTAAAATGATGATTTTAGTTTAGTACTGCGGCTAATTCGGGATTGGTACATTCCGCACAACAATTTTATAATTTTTACCGCTCAAGTCACCAACTTCGCATTTATCTTTTTGTTTAGGATCACAAACATATCCCTCTACGCCAAAACCTACAATTGAAACGAAAAAGAAGGTTAAATTTAAATTTCTAACGCGTAAATATCTAAATGATAATTTACCGTCAGGATCAAGATGGCCACCAGCAGTAGTACAGTTATGATCGTCTGAAATGGCAAATTCGTGAACATGATAAGGATATTTTTCACCATATTTTAAACCATCTTTAATTTCAATTACGATTTCCATGACATCTTCATTCCAAATGAATGTATAGCGTCCTGTGACATTATGGTTAAAATATGCATAGGCAACTTTTGCGGCGTTAATTGGCACCAGTACCGTACATAATGTTGCAAGAAGGATAAAGAAGAAAAATGTGGATTTCATAAAAAAATTCATATCGCAAGTATTTAAAAACGTAAAGTCGGGGGAAATATTATTTATAGAATTAGAGATTATAAAAATATTTAATCCTTTTTACAAGCGTTTGAAAAAAAAATTTTTTTTATAGAAAAGGAATGACAACAATCTGGGAAGCTTTTTATATAAAAAAAAAAAAAATTTTTTTGGCAATCATATTTTTTTACAATTGAATCTAAAAATAAGTTGTCTTTAAAGTTTAGTTGATTCAGATTTAAAATGATCTGTGAGAAAGGGATTTTGAATTTAAAAATTTTACATGAGCCTTTAATCTAATATGTTCAAATACAATGAACCCATTCATTGGAAGTTTACCAAATAAATCATCGATTGTCGTTAAACAATTGAGTATGGTTTTTCTTCTTATGGTTTTAGAATTTTAGTGATGTAATACGTTTCTATTATTAAATTATGCTTGCATCCATGTTGTGTATTTATCACTAATGCGCTTTTTTAGCCGTTCTAAACTTAAAAAACATGTTCTAAATTTAGTTTTACCGTAAAATTCCCCAAAAAAAAAAAAAAATTGAGAGGGATATTCTCAATTTAAAAGCCCATAGAACAGCTAAGCCTTTTTTTAATTACAAATTCACAGAACAGAAT